GCATAACCAGTAACTACTTCTTATTCGAGGTCCACATACCCCTTACTTTGGATGAAGATTTTCTTCCTGTGAAAACCAACATAGAAATTCAAATTCAAATTCAAACATCTTTATTTCGACCAACTGGGATCATAGTCAATGTTAGTTACATTTTCTTATCCTAAAGTTAATAATACACCCCTAAAGCTAATTAACATTTACATAATATGCGGTTGACAGAGCTTTAGTGAGGCTTGATTTTCAGTATATGGATCATATGACAATGATTCAGATACTGACAATCAAACCTCTCCGCAAATGCTCTCAGGATACCACTGGTGCTGGCCCGCACCCTACGTGCCAGGGATGTACAGCGTTTCCTCACAGTTGTGAAAAAACAATCAACTCTGGCATCCGCGAACATCCCCGAGGCGCTGCACGGTGATTCACGCTCCATACTAAGGCGGTCATAAATACGTAACTCCGAAATTATTATTATTTTTTTATTTTATTACGTTAAAATATGATTAGGTAAACGTAAATTAATAAAATTATACATTTTAAAAAATATTTGACAATATTTAGGTGTAAAAATGTCTCGCAGTAATTTTGTTTTTAGACGATGTATCTAAAACATTTTATACTGCGACTTTTAATGGTAAAACTGTGTAAATAATGATTATTTGTATTAACAATAACCACAAATGAATAAATTAAAACAATAAAAATACATAAAAAAGTTCATTTTACAAAATACAAACAAAACACAAATTATACCAAAATACATTAAATCTCAACAATATTAACTTTAAATACATAACAAGTCTAATACAGCTTTTGACAGTACACCTTTTTTTTTAACAGGTAACTTTCGTAGACCTGTTATGAAGGGATCTGAATGAAGAAGCAGCCTATTTACTAAATCTGTGTTGGTCACAATGCGACTCATTTTACGCGTATGATTTTTTCTAAAAGACTTGATGTATTTGTTAGTCGCTTCAGCTGCTTCTTCAGACAACTCTCCGATTGACAACAAACCGTAATCTATAACATTAGCACCATGAATTAGAACTTTGTGAACGGAAGCAGGCATGTTATACCACGGATACTCGGCAACTAACTGCCGAGCCGTCACTAAAGCGAACTCTTCGAAATTCGTCTTATTAATATTATATCCCGAATTTAAACATTGAAGGATGATCCAGCAACGATCTAGGAGATCCTTCTTGATCCCAGTAATTTCAGCGGAAATTTCTGAATTCGAGAAAAACCGCCTGGCTGTATTACCATCGTTTGATGTTCCGCTTCCGCCACTTTTAGGCTTATCCACTATAAGCCCTAATCTTTCTCTAAATTGAGTCTGAACATATGATTTTTTTGCAGCAACAAGCATATTGTCATTAGCGGACCTAGCTTGCCATTTCCTAACATCTAACTTGTACGCGACATGAACAAAATATTCAAAAAAACGTATTAACGCGTGAAGAGGTGATAAACCAAATTCATATTTACTCTCATCGACTTCCTTATTTAAACATTCGTCAATTTTGTTCATTTCACTGGGCAAGGCGTTACAAATAAAACATTTTGATGAAGAAACACCACTAAGTGCATTACACACTTTACCATCTACCATAGTAAGTTGCAAACAATGAGTAATGCGATATTCGCGATCTTCTTCCTTGAAAACAGTAGGCTGTAAGTTCCTTATTTTATCTTTAAAATGAGCTTCTTCCTCAACTGACACTGCAGTCGATTCCTTCAAATATCGGAGGCGTATAGGACGACAGTATCGAGTTGATGAAGGACGAGGATTTTTCCACAAAACTACTGAATTTTCTTTGTTATCTGTTGTCAAAACAAGCTGAAGTGGCACATACGAAGTAACAAACAGGCTACTGTCTTCAAGAGTGGAGTCAGAAAAACACTGTTTATATTCTGAATGCCCTGTACTGCCATCGAAACCCCATTTCCCTATCAAAGATATCTTATCTAGAGACTCATTAGGTACACTATCCAAAACATCTTTTTGAGACTTGAGAATCCGATTGGCAGTATGATCTAATAAACTTTGAAGTTCGACTTCGGCGGATGATTCTGTAACAGTAATATCTGAAGGATAACAGTGTTTTTTAGATTCCACGACACTTTGCTTGGTAAGATGGGAAAATGGTTTTTGAAAACTTATTGTCTATAAATTTCTTTACTAATATATATTGATGTCGAGTTAACTGAGCTTCAACAATGAGCGATAAAACTTCGCTAGAATCGATTTCAGGACAAGACAAGCTATCGGACGCATTGAGCAATGACTGTACAAGAGAAGGGTCTTGGTTAGACAAACTAGCCAATCTTCTCCTTTTTGTACGTTTACTGGTGTCGTCAAAGTTAATTCTCGGACGGCCATGCGATAAAGAAGTTGATGGTTTAACTTCGTCAAAGCTCTGAGATACACGTAACTCAGTTCGCTGTACATCAATATTTTCAACGACATGCAGCCAATCTGAATATTTTTCTAAGAATTTAGATCTAGTACGATTCGACTTTGCCCAGTAGTGGGAAATTCGTTTACAAATATTCTTAATTTTAAGGCTTAAAGTCTCTAAATCAATATTTTCGATGTCGTCAGAAAGGGATGATGTTTCGGTCAAAGTGCTCAGGACGTGTTGCATTTTTTCATTTGGATTACCCACTTTAGAGTGCCAAATATCAAAAATTGTCATCCTCGATACAGAACATTTGAAAAATGTACCTAAAACAATATGAAAGCTGAACTTAAAAAAAAATTAAAAATTCAATACTATGGACATGCATACTTTGACACCCCTTTAAGCCAAGAAGAGGCAGCAAGATGCAAATGAAACTTATAGCTCTTAATAAGGACATACTCCTTATTCAAAAACCATATACCTCAGGTGCAGCTCAGCGCAGCCAAAAGTTGTAGGTCTAAAGGAAATTAAGTTATGCCAAAAATTTTCACCAAAAAACTGCCTTCAATAAAAAAATTATATAAAAAAAAGTATGCATAAAAAAAATTAAAAAAAATTGATAATAAAAGTACATACCATGCTCTTGGATCTCCATGCTTTCACAACACGTAAACACTTGATTTGGAATAGTGACACTCAAAAACAAAGTGATTAAGTTTCGATGACTCACACGTGGTGATAATTAGTCTCGCGATGCGCTCACTTCCGATGCACAAAAGTGAATGATAACGTGACCTAATTACATTGATATTTATAGTTTTTGGAAGCTTGTTAACTAGTTACTAACTTAGTGAGTTGATCTAACCGGGATAAGCCAATGATTTTTTTTGATTTATGGCCTATGGGGGAATCACAGTGCGCTGCAGAAGCGAGGCAGCCCCAATAGCACCCTGAAAGCATTGTTGTACTGCACACGTAGGGCGTTGTACTGTTTTTGCGTGTAAGAGGCCCACAAACTGCTCGTGTATAGAGTCGTGCAAAAGGCTCTAAATAAAGTTACTTTTACCTCAGCCGAACAACGAGCAAATCGGCGAGCCACCATAAAATTACAGTCGAAATGAGCATCATAAAATTACAGTCGCAGTACATCGCGATTAATTTTCAGAAAAACACTTACATCTCTCCGTCTGAAAATGAAATCAAGCTGTGCACCGTGCTGCAACAAGATCACTACATCTGCAACAAAAACATTCCAGTATTCAACATGCAGAGTAAGAATGCCCCGTGCGAGACTAAACTACTTAGTCACAGCTCTGGTGCTGTGAAGTCAAGAAAACGTTATGCAATGATGCATTGATAGAGTTACACACACCGAACTCTTGGCTGGTTTGTTGTGGAGCGTGCACTTTGCGCACCATATGTGATAACGACATCACCTCGTATACTGTAACGACGTCAGCCATTATAACCTTGAAACAAGGATGTGTGTTACAATCCACCGACTTCACCATCTATTCACACAACGAGTACAACACTAACATGAAGATGGAGTACAAATTTAACATTCCACTGTTGAACTCTACAGTAAACAAGATCGTGAACTTAACCCATCACAAACTTCCACAGGAAATTTTACATAACACGTATGAGGAAGAGATACAAGATATCGACTGACGACTGCTTTTACAAAAGGAACATGAAGTCCTCCCAGCGATGATTTCCTCCCATGATCATACATCAGTATGTGGTCTGCTACATTCTTCTAGGAACTACAATTCTGATCGCTACGACCTGGAACATCAAGAAGTTCCGTTTACTCAACTATACCAGGAACAAAAATTAGCCATCAGCAGATAAAGAGCACTACGAGGATATAGGACTGCAGCGACCCAGTGTACAGCGAACTGCACAGAGCGGGCTGAGCCAGCACTCAAGGGTCGTGCGCCCTCACCCACAACCTACCACTGCTACGAAAGCGGAAAACTACGTTGCGTTCAATTTCGATGATTAATTTTTTGCTTTGTACTGGCATATCTTTACCTTGGTATCATTTTTTATTACTTTAACTACCTTTGTTCTTTCTTTTGGGTTGTCAACATGTATAGCTTACATTCTTCGGCATAATTCTGCGCACGCGGTGATCTACTTTAGCCACGTGCCGCACTTTTATTTAAACATGCAATTCACACTCTGTTTTCACGTAGTACGTTACCAACTGTCCATCTACACACGACATCAAGGTAAGATTTGCCACCATATTAGTATCAATATTTATTAGATAAAGATGCATGGGAAAACTACATGAGTCTTGACTCCACACAATTATATTATAGTATTCCATAGCATTTAAGTTCATTTGAAAAGAGCAATCCCTAGAGTCCCTGCTCGTTCTTCTCAGAGTGTAGTGAACTAGCAATAGCGTAAATAATGACATTTTCAAGTGTAATAAGTTTACTTATTGTATAAATGATTATTTATCTTTGACTTTGCAAATGTTTTAAAAACCACAGAAAGGAGATTCTCGTAATTGATTCAATAGACGTTATTAACTGATTTCCGCTTAATTTTTTAATTAAATTAATTGTCTTTCAGAATATTAAAGACTTACCGGTAATAATGAAAGAAAACAGTATAGTGACTGTAACAAGTGACGTACAGTACTGGAACAAATGCTCAGGCTCTCTTATATATATCGATGACACGCACACCCTGAAACACTTCACCCCGGGCGTCGAAATGACTTTGTATTGCGGAATAGTACTACACTGCCAAGAGCTCATGGATAAACATACTGCCAAATTTAAAGTAACCATTGGAGGCGAATTTGAAGATCACCAGTATGTATGCTTACGCAGCGTCATGTATCGGCGACCTTCTCTGATGAAGAGAGATTTGGATCTGATCAAATTCGCTCAAAAGTATCGTGTAAGCACTTAAATACCATAACGCTTTGTCCCGACTCCATACGTCAAGATCTTTTTGTTTTAAAATTTCAAATAGAGGCACACTTGGACGTAATTGGTTACAAATTGTAGATTGTATATTTCAGTCCTTTGGTGTTGGTACATATTGGGAAGTTCGATTCTCATATAAATCGGTACGAAGAACATGATAACCGTCTGGCAGATATTATTAGATTTTAAGTGTATCTTGAAGACATCGAGTATATAACCAGAAATAGAGACGAAATAAGGACCATTTATTCCTGATAACACATTAGCGATACAGCTCTTATAAATGATTATCACTAGTATCAGGTTTCTTACCACGGTATGACTTCTTTTTATTTTCCCTATATTTCGGAACGGTTGCACGCTCCATGGTCACGGGTTGACTGGACGGCGGCAGATGACAGCTTTAAGAGCAGACATATCTGTCTACCCTCTTGCGCTGTCGACGACTACCTTCATCGCGATTTGTCATTTGTCACTCACTTTTTTCACACAAACCACACTCACTGTATCCACACGCGAAACTGAACTCGAGGTGTTTTTGTTTTTATTACTGCACGCACTAAGGTCCGGATTCCATGCACTGGACAGTTTAAAACCATCATCACGGTTAAATGTTTTGTACTTCGTGATCTCGATGGCTTCTCGTACCAACCGTGGTATGTAGTGACGTTCTGTCGAGAGTACCTGGGGGCTATGCAACTCGATCCAGTGGTTAGTGTCAGTCTGTGTGAGATGTTGTGCTATAGCCGACTTCTGTACATCATTGTTTTTTACTGCTCGGATGTGTTCCTTCATACGATCGACAATTGTTCGTTTAGTCTGACCGATATACGAGCTCCCACAACTGCAGTTCACTTTATAGACACCCCGTGTGTGTAAAGGAAGGTGGTCTTTTGGTGAACGTAACATTTTTCCTATTTTGGTTAAGGGGGTGAAAACAGTTTTTATGGAAAACTTCCTTAGCGACCTGGCTATTTTATCCGTCACCCTTTGTACATGGGGCAGAAAAACTGGTAGTCTCTGTACGTCAATTTGCTTCTTCCTTTTGTGTGTACGTCAATTTGCTTCTTCCTTTTGTGTATTGGTTTAAATGTTTTTATTTTGTATCCATTCTGTCGCAAAACCGTCTTAACGTGCTCCTGTTCCTGTGGTGGGTGGTGTGAATCACAAAGATCATAAGGTCTATTGGTTGATGACCTGACGACCGAATGTAGGTGTTTTTTGGGTGATGATGTGAAATGGCATGTAAATATTTGTCCGTGTGAGTTGGTTTTCTGTACACAGACGTGACCATGGAGCGTGCAACCGTTCCGAAATATCGGGAAAATAAAAAGAAGTCATACCGTGGTAAGAAACCTGATACTAGTGATAATCATTTAGTGAATAACCACGAAAGTCTTAAAATCTATATAGCTCTTATAAATATCAACTCTCGTTAGCACTGAAATATAGACAGGCCAACTACTGACCTGTGTGTACATCTCCGTATATTCCAAAAAATATTCTGTATTTATTGTAATAAAGATTATATCTCTAACAATGTCCTGCTGTTCTATTCGGTGGTGTGGGAATAACATCTAATTACAAAACAAACGGAATCATATTTCATCGGTAATTAAATATTAAATATGTAATTTTGCAATTTTCGTCCATTATAGCAAAGCTCAAGTTAACTGGTCGATTTGAAGTGAAACAGTTGACGACACCAATTGACGACACCCGTCAATTGTTTCCAATTCGGGCTAGCCAATCGGACCACAGTTGTCACAGTAATGATATAGATGATATAGTTTTCAAACAAATTAAATAACATTTCGTTTCTATTTCTGGTTATATACTCGATGCTTGAAGATAACAGAGTGATGTTAACTACACAAACCAAAACCAAGTTCTAAAGTTATGATGATGAAATACAAATACAAATTATCTTTATTGCACACTGGGACAAATACAAAATAGTACAAAAAATAAAAAATACAGGTGCAACACGCGGCCTTATTGCTATATAGCAATCTCTTCCAGGCAACCTATGGGTTACAGGAAAAACTGCGAGATAGTAATTAATTGAGGGCGCAACAGAATTTATTTTCTCAAAAGAATTATAATTGCCATAGATTGTTCGCGGTGACCGTAATTATTATGTTATTAGCATTTTGCAGTTGCCTGCGTTGCGTATGTTCATTTTTGGTTTTGAATTTGATGTCAGTGTGAATATTTTTTAATAATATTTTTCGAATTAGTATGCATGTAAAATATATATATATATATATATATGATTTATCAATATTCATTAATTTAGTGTTTTTGTACATTTGCGCACTAGAGGTAAGGTAGTAGATAGTATTTTTATTAATTTGTTCTGTGACGTTTGAAGAACTTTAAGATTAGTTTTAGCTGCTAAGCCCCGTGTTTAAAACACATATTGCACATACACAAATGAAAAAAAGAAAAGTAATAACAAAAATAGTCTAAAACCGACATTCGAAATAATAGTGATACATAAATAAAATATACTACTTTATTTCAGTTTGATGTTTTAAGTATTTATACAGTTCGCTCTCCAACTACAATACTCATGTTAAGGAAGTTACTGGGAAATGATTATAAACCTTTAATTCTAAGTGTTATATGCGACCAACAAGGACTAGACTGCGCCCAAGACATTATTGATGTACGTAATTTAATACTTATACATGGATGAAAAGATCGGCTAGTTTGAAATTGTAGAAACCTGAATAATAATAATAATAATAATAATAAAGTGAGAAAGTTCATGCAGATGGAAGAGAACGAAGTGGAACCTTAGTACACTCTCACCATATACATACAAGCCCTACAGCATTTACTTGATTTCGGTCCGTAGATGCTGTTAAAACCAGTCAACAGGCTGAGAGGAAAAACATCTATAATAATAATAATAATAATAATAAAATTTCTTTATTCGGACAACTACGGTC